TAACTATTATGCAGCTGTTTTTCTGTTGAATGACGCTTTTATTAGTAAAAGCAACGCTTTAAACGTGGTGATGAGCATTTAGAAAGGGTGAGAAAAAATGATCATGTAAATTTCGTGAACAATAGTGTGTTTGTAAAAACAATGGAAAACTTAAGAAAGCGCGTTTGTGTAGACATTACTCGCGATAACCGAGGAGATTGACTAAGAAAACTTGTTGCTGACCCTTCTTACTTGAGTCATAAAGTATTTTATGATAATCTTGCTGCCATCCACAATACAAAATCTAGACTAAAATTGAATTGTCTAATGTATGTTGGTCAAGCTGTTTTAAACCTCAGCAAACACCTAATGTCTGAGTACTGGTATAACCAGATTCAATCAAAATTTTGCCAAAAAGTACAACTATTCTACACTGACACAGACAGTTTTTTTGCAATTTGCAAAGATATGATAAAGAATTTATTGTTTCACGACCTAAAATGTATTCTGTTCTCAAAGCGAAAAATTTAACAAAAATATGCAAAAGGAGTTTGCTGAACTGTTGATAAGAAAGATCTTAACAATTAGTCATAGAAGCAGTGTCTTAAAGTGCAAATTGAATTATAACTCGCGTAAGTTAGGACTCAATTTAAAGGACACCAAAATGGAATATACGACCAAATTAAAACAACTCTATACCCTTTTAATTCTAAGCGATGGATTGCTCCAGGTGGAATTAACTCATAAACTTAAGTATTCTATCTAAAGGTAACTGAGCTTCAGACGAACAAGTTGAAACTCTTCTCGAACAAATTGTCTGTTCGGTCCACTAACAAGGCGGTAAAGAGCTAGTTGACCTATTTTCGGAACTATTGATTTAATTAAATAAATTTTTCCCTAATAAGCGTATAGTTTCTCTAATATTTGATTTTACAACATCAGGTAAATATTTTACCCATGCAACTGATCTTTCAGCTATTAGCAACTTTTGATCATACTGGCAACTTTTTTGATCATACTGATTAAAACGTTTTTCAGCGAGAGTGCGATTATAATGTTCAACTATGGACTGTTCTCTAAATTTTCAAGCTTCAGCTCGTCTAATTTTGGACTTCTAGCATCAGCTTGGTTAAGATTGATTCAAGTGAGAGGGCCACGCACATTTAATTTAGCAAGACCTTCTGAAACAGTTGCACCTGTTTTGTTAGTAATAGGTTCAGCGTCTTCATAGCGGCTAGCCTCGTCAACAACGATTAATGCATATTTATAGGTACATCGAAGCTTTTGTCACTTAATAGGCATAGGATGCTCTTGGACGTCCATAGTACGTACCGTTTAGGTCCAATGGATGTCAAAATACGTACTATTTTGGACTTCAACGACTATGGACATCCAAGTCCAAATTAGTACGTTCTCGGACGTCTATTGGACTTACTTTTACGCATGCGTGAATATACAATATTTTCGAAATAATTAAAAAAAAATATAGTTTGAAAGTTGTTAATGTTTCAATTTATTCTATAACTATAACTATTTAGTTATAGTTATTGAATATTAATTTATGGTTTACCTATAATAATATATTTTTACTTAGAATAATAAATTTAATTAACAAATATAGACTATAAACGGTAATTAAATAGAGAAAATATTTTTCCTTCAAAAAGTTTATTTTGTGAACTCATTATAAAATTGAAATCAATAAATTCGAACTTTTTCATACTTATAATAGAACTACGTTTCTTTAGTTTTCACTGTAAATTTTATAAATATATATGTATATATATATATATATATATATATATATATATATATATATATATATATATATATATATATATATGTATATATATATATATATATATATATATATATATATATATATATATATATATATATATATACATATATATATATATATATAAATATATATATATATATATATATATATATATATATATATATATATATATATATATATGTATATATATATATATATATATATATATATATATATATATATATATATATATATATATATATTATATATATATACACACACAAGGGGCGAATTAAATGATTGCGAATTGAAAATTCCGTAAAGGTTTCTGGTCTTCAAATTTTGTTTTTCTTAAAAACCATTTTTGCGCAAACTATTCGTAACAGTTTTACAAGAAACATAAAATTTAAAGACCAGAATTTTTTACGGAATTTTTAATTCGCGATCGCTTAATTCGCCCCTTGATATATAAAATAAGTAAAGAAAAAGAGAAAGTAACTATTTTTTGTAACCTGTGGCTTCTAATTCTTGTAAAATTATTGACGATGATGATAGAAAAAGTTGTTAATGTGTTTAGAAAATAAAAAAACCAGTGATGATAGAGTTTTAGTTCAAGAGATGACAATTTAACATGAGTTTTATTTTATTTTCTTCTAAAAATATATATATAAATTATTTTGATATCATTTTCATTAAGTGCTGAAAATGCAAAGCTATTTAAATCATACAACTATAGAACAATGATTATAAAACTGTTAAAAAAATATTACTTTAAAATAAAAGGTCTTTTAATGTTGTTACATATATGTATCTTCGATACATATATGTATCTTGTTGATACATGAATGTATCCATGTTTCTATTTTTTTTATTTTATTCTTTGTTTAGAGTTTCAATACACTTTACTTTAAATTTGCAGAAAAGTTGTAAGCTGATTTAAGATTTGCATTGATCGGCTTAAAAGTATCAAACAAATCGGAGATGATAATATGAAAAAAAAAAAAACAATAAGTTCATTTAAGAGATTCAATATATATGTTCATTCAATCAGACAATACAAATCTATATTCCAAATTTTAGTGAAAATAATAATAATAATAATGATAATAATAACAATAATAACAATAATTACATATATATATATATATATATATATATATATATATATATATATATATATATATATATATATATATATATATTATATATATATATATATATATATATATATATATATATTTATATATATATATATTTATATATATATATATATATATATATATATATATATATATATATATATATATATATATATATATATATATATATATATATATATATATATATTATATATATATATAAAATGTTAGTGAAAATAATAATAATAACAATAATTACATATATATAT